CTGAAGCTCAGATTTTACATCTAGGAAAATGAGAAGAGCTATTTAGATGAACCCAAAAAGGGTGTCATGAGACATCTAGATCCAGAAATGCCAGTCTGAGTCCTTAGAGAACAGTCAAGGTCAAAGAGGGAAGAGTAAGAACTAGAGGCTCTCAAGATTGTTTTCAGTGACCATTCAGTCTTCTTCAAGTGGAGAGGAGAAGTAAAATGTAACAAATTGAAGAAGCAATCTGTGTGGCTAAGGTCACAAGAAGCATCTCAGCAGACATGCTAGAAACCGTGCCTGAATATTATCTGATCATAAGATAGAACACAACATCTAAAAAGAATCTCAGGAAAAACAAGAGGGAGGGAGGAGTAGGGACTGAAAGCCAGGCGACGGAAAGGTCTGCTTCCGGCACTGCCGGGTGCGGAGGGTAGGAGAGGACCCAGCGCAACAGCACTGCGGGCAGAAGGGGGGCCGTGGCAATCTGGTACCGCGCCCACTTCAGGCCTCGTCCACGATGAACCCTGGCCGTAGCAGGAGGAGCCATTTGGGCAGAATGGGGACCGGGGCGGGGGGTGGGACACGGAGAGACTCTAGGTGGCACCACATCTGCTATTTTCTCCCAGAGTTTCATTGTTTAGATGGATAGCTGTTTGGGGTTTCTAGAGGCTCCGCAGGTTTGAGCTCAGGTCATGATCTCCTGCCGTGGGGTGGAGCAGGAGTCCGGCTTTGTGCTCAGTGCAGAGTCTGCGGCAGATGCTTTCTCTGTCCCCCCATCCCTCCCCCACTTGCTCTCTCTCTCTAATAAATAAATAAATAATCTTAAAGAGAGAGAGAGTTGTTTAGATTGCTGTTGCTTGTTTAGTTATCTTTACCTCCTGAAAGACCTTAAGGAGCATATGACGCGCTAACGCTGGTGTTCACTACTTCTGTTTGCTGTTCAGATCTCTCCAGCCTTCACAGTTGCTAAAGGTTGATATAAATAAATAACAAGATTTTAACATAAGAAGGAAGGGTGGCCAAATATGGTCGTATACAAGTATATCGGCCAGGGGCTTGAGTTAGAACGATAATCGCCGCCACCACCACCATCATCATCATCCCGGGCAGAGCTGAAGCAGTCACTATCAATTGTAAAACAGGACATGGAACCTAAGCAGAAACTCAGGCCTAGAAAATGAGCCTGCGAGCCTGCCACTGACACACGGCAGTCCGAGTCTGCTCAGCAGTACAAGGACGATGTGGACACAGCAGGAGTCCGTCCACATGGTCGAGTACTGCTCTGACACACCCCAGCCCGACCGGGTCCCGGAGGCGAAGGTCCGTGCATGCTGCTGGGACAGAAGCAGCTTACGAGCTGGGAAGGAACAGAACTGCGGGTGTGCGGCCAAGGGATCCGGCTGCGGGAGGTGGAGAACAGGAAGATGGAGAAACAAAGGCAAATGCTGGCACCAAAGTATTTCGGAATTTGCAACAACCATCACAGGAGACTCGGAATATATGGGCTAGACACACTGCAGGGGTATTCAGGACACCAAGAAGAAACAAAGCCTGGAAATCAGGAGCCAAAGAAACTCTAAGATGTTATTTCCAAAGAAAAGGCAGAAAAACCTGAAGCCAGAGAAATACTTCCAGGATCCCCACAGAAAATAACCTATCTTGTCCATTCACCTGTTCATTCAGGGGACAGTATGCTATATTAGAAATACGGGGGTGGGGGCAGTTCTTGCTCTAGAAGATCTTGCTGAGAGGAGCCCAGAGAATGGATGCCAGGATCCCCGAAGACTCTTTGGCGGAGACTCCTTGGGGACCTAGGGACTCTCTAGCTCTCCACAAATCACCAGCTTTCAATCTTCAACCCCAGGCCACACAGCGGACTAAGACGCCACATGCAATCTTCACCTCTAAAATGATCTAGTTTCCCTTCCTCGGGATCTGCAAGAGGTTCCCAAGGATCAACCGTCATTCCTTAATAAGGTCTTGTAACTTGACCCTTCCTGCCCCTCCTGCCTACTCTCTGCGCCCCTCTCCTCCCTGTGCTCGGTGCTAGGCTTGCAGCTATGTGAAAGCCCCGGGCTTCCTCTGGACGCCGGCCCTCCGCTTGCCCGCCCTCCCCTTGCCTGGCGCACTCTGGCCTCTCCCCCGTGGTGGGCTAAGTTCTCCTGTGCTCTCTGCCCGGTGTTGCTCCACTGCTCCCTGTCCCCGGGGACCTCCTGCTGCTCGCTCCAGGGCACCGTACTTCCTTCATGGTGTGTACCATTGCTGATTCTGTTGTCCCTCTTCTCTGAGACACTGCAAGGACAGCTCCCTGGAACACAGCGTGTCTGTTTACCACTCTGCACAGCGACCTCAGAGAAGGGCTGGACACCACGGTGGAAACTTCAGGTCGGAAATGACACCTGTGAGGCAGGAACTGTACCAGCTTCCTGACCGTTTCCCTCACACCCCGCTTCAAGCAGCTGCTCACAGTACCTTGACTGAATGAAGGAATCAAGGCATCAGTGCACGGACATTACCCTCACCCGGGCCAGGCTCCGCTCATCTGCTCAGAACCCTGTAGTGAGCAGGCTCTGTGGGGGACACCCCCAGCAGTGCTCTTTTCCTTCTATATCCCGCCTCCAAATGATGACCCTCTCTCCCCCATCCGCACGGCTCCAAGCTGCTCTGGACCCTCACCCGGGACATAGAGACGGCACCTGTGTGAGTCCCAGATGCCAGAAGTTACCGCAGGAAGGTAGTCATCTCTGTACGTTCATAACCACACACACATTCAGATAGGAAAACAGAACAAGTGAAAAAAACCATGCTCCTAAGTGGTGGCTGAAATGACAAATATTGCTATTCCCCGGTTAGAAGGACGGGAGACAAGCTAAGGTCAAGGGCCAGGAGGGTGTTTTACCATGACAATTCAGGAGGAATGACTATAAAGGTTTTAAGAAATTACACAGTGAAAGTGACAGTGGCAAAGTTTTCAGCTGTGATGACGGGTATTCAACACACTTAGTATAAATGATCGTGCCAGAAAATTATAATTCATGAAAAATTGTCTTATATATTAAATGCAATATCCACACGTTTACTGTCATATGCACTTAATTAAGTGTATGTGCACATATATGACACAGTGTAGTGTAGGCTACTATTTCCAGCTAGTAAAGACAGTTCCTGCCTTTGATAAGAAAGTACAGTGAGGAATACGGACAAATGCATGAACTGACACATTATCACAGCCATGCAATCAGAACACACCAAGAACTTCGGAGCATTTCTGTTTTCCTGAGTTATTTACAGACTATGTGTCCTTCTTCCCTACCTCCCCCACCCTCCTTCCCTCCTTCCTCCGCTCCCATCTTCTGCCATTTATTGCTTATGTGTGCACCTAGGCACAGCGGACAGACAGACAGCAAATCAGAGTCCTTGACTGGTTCTTCTCTGCCTGCTGATTTTAAAGTCATTTTCAGATCCAGTAATTTTTTCTCCAATAATCCTACAACCCAGAGATTAGTCATATTAGAAGCCAAACAAATGTTCTGACGAGTCTTGGCCCCTTTAAAGAGGTCTCATTTGTAGATGGGCACAACAGAGCAGGAAGGGAGGGGAGAGGAAGAGCAGAGGAAGTGATGAACTCCTACAGGCAGTGTCCCTGGAGCTAAGAACAGCGAAGTCCAGCATGTGGGTCAAAGGGGAGGTGAACCATGAGAGACTGTGGACTCTGAAAAACAATCTGAGGGGTGTGAAGAGGTGGGGGGGTGGGAGGTTGGGGGAACCAGGTGGTGGGTATTGGAGAGGGCACGGACTGCATGGAGCACTGGGTGTGGTGCAAAAACAATGAATACTGTTACGCTGAAAATAAATTTAAAAAAATTAAAAAAAAAAAAAAAAAGATGAGCCTTCACCAGCAGAAGGTCAACTTCTTCCGTATTAGCACAAAGAGGAGAGGGCGGCTTCAGGCAAATCTGTAGGTGGGAGAGAAGGGTGGGACTTCTCAAAGGGTCCCATTTCATAGCTTCAATTTTCTCTGTAATGCAGAATGTGAGGGGTTGGGCCAAGGGAAAGGGGAGGTGGTGACAGAATGGTTTTCAGGAAAGCAGTGCACTGCAGGAAGAGGCCTGGTGGAACCAGGGGCAGGGCCAGCCCTTCCCGCACGGGACCCTGTCCCATGTGGCCCCAGAGCTCAGCAGCTTGCGTGTGGACAGAGACTAACCCAAGTGCCCTCTTTCTAGGAAGGATGAGGCACGACGGAGAGTGAGACAAGATAATGAAGTTTCTAAAGGGGATAGTTAAAGTTATGGGCTGTGGATTCCAGGCTGAGTCGGGAGGTTCCAGAAAGAGACAGACAGGGCAAACTCTAAGCAGGAAGAACCCAGAGTCTAGTTCAAAGGTGTCCAGGGGTTCAAAGGCGGAGCTGGCATGAGCGGTGACACAGCTGCAGCTGGACGAGCGTCCTCGAGGAGGACTCACGGCCACAGCAGTCACGGTAAAGAAGCCGTTTGTGCAGCAGGTGTGGCAGCGCAGGATGAAGGGAGTGAGGCACCGCGAAACCACACGGGGGAAGGGGTACACCGCTCGCACCGCTAACCAGTAGCATGTGCTGCTCCTTCCAGATAATGACTTTAGACCATTCCTCATTCCACTCAGTTTTCCTGCAAGTTCCCAGACTGGTCCCTTGGAAAAAAAAAAAAACTTGATTTGCTGAGAAAAGAAAAAAAAGGAAAAAAGCAGCTCCCTCCGGGCAGGGGTCATGCTCTACAGTGACTTAGTCACAGCTAAGAATCGGTGTCAGTTACCGACCATCTGACTCACATACAGTAAACGCATAGATCCTTCTCTACATTCCCAAAAGGCAGGAAGAGCTACAGTGAGCAAAAAAACCCACACGACCATTTTAAAGGAGTGCCCTGTCTACACAGCAGAGGACAGCAGAGGACGTGACCTCGCGCTCTCTGCACAGCCACGTGTCGATGGGTCCCCGATGCATGGCGCCCTCCGCGTGCCACTCAGTGGTGTGCGCTTACCTGGATGGCGAGGGCTCGAGCTACCAGACCACGCAGGTACTGTAAGGGATCTTCAGGGCCTTCCCACTTGCTCTGCCACGCAAGAGGACACTGCAACCGAAAAAGGGTCCAAAATAGGTTTACATGTATAGTATTACATACAAAAGACCTTTAACACTAATGTGATGGGGAATTATTTTGGCATAATCCACATTATGTGTATCATGAATGTATTTTCTTAAGCTACATCTGTTTCCCTTCGATCTTATTATAATAAAAATAAATGACAGAGACAGAATGAATTAATCTGTTTCTCTAAAAGGATATTGTTCTAATTTGGCTATTGTTGACGCGGCTATAAACATGGGTGTGCACCTCTTTGAGTCGGTAGTTCTGTATCCTTTTGGTAAATACCTAGTAGCGCGACTGCTGGATGGAGGGTAGTTCTAAATGACGACAGATGCATGGATAAAGAGAAGGTGGTCTATGCAGACAACGGAATATTACTCGGCCCTTAAATGGAATGAGATCTTGCCATTTGCAATGACATGGATGGAACTAGAGGGTGTTATGCTGAGCGACATAAGTCGGTCAGAGAAAGAGAAATACCATGTGATTTCACCATCCGTGGAATTTAAGAAACAAACAGGTGAACACGGGAAGGGGGAAAGACAGAGGGAAGGAAACCCTCAGAGATGCTTGATGGCAGGGACCTGTAGTACTGATGGGGGAGGAGACAGAAGGGGTGGGCTAGATGGGGGATGGGCACCAAGGAGGGCACGGGCTGTGATGAGCCCTGGCTGGTGTGTGTATAAGTGATGGATCAGTAAATTCTACCCCTGAAACCAATTCCATCACATATGTTAACTAATTAGAATTTAAATAGAAACTTGAAAAAAAATAGGATTTTTTTAAAGTAACATTCTTGAAACAATAAGCAAACTGCTATGTACAAAGTAGCAAACTGTGTTTTCTAAAAACAATATCTAGCACACAAAGAAATCAAATTAAAATAGACAAGTTCACTTTATAAGTGGTAAAGATTAAAAAAAGTCTGGGTTCCTTCAGAATTTCTTCAGACTCTGAACAGACAAGTATACTGGAAAATTCATCCCCCAAATCACCCTGAACTACATGATGAAACAAGAAGAAATTTCCAAAGTACTCTCAATTAAAGTTAAATATAGGTAAACAAAACCATTCCAAAAAAGTTATCTTTTAAATACTGACCTTCGACTAACTGGTATTCTCTACAAATACATAATTCTTTACTTTACAATATTCTTCAAGTTCATGTTCATCATCATACCTTTTCTACGAGGGTTTGCTGGACTTTCCAAACATTATATAAATATTCAAACTTCTTAAGTGTAATAATAGTAAGTAACTATTATTATTTAGGAGAATAATATAAGGAGAAAACATCAATTTCATACCCCCAAGCACTGCCTGATTACACAGTAAAGACACAACACCAGGGAATAGACCAACACCACATGGAAAACAGAAATTATAAGATGACAGGAATTCACGGCGTAAAAGAGCCTTAGAAATATCTGGTTTAATGACTTCACATATGTGAAGTAAGCTTTCCTTGGAATACGGCAGAAAAGTGCCTGAACGGTGCTCTGAATTAAGACAGGTGTTGTGGTTTCCTTTTTTTTTTTTTTCCTAAAGATTTTTATTTATTTGACAGAGATAGATCACAAGTAGGCAGAGAGAGAGAGAGAGAGAGAGGAGGAAGCAGACTCCCTGCTGAGCACAGAGCCCGATGCGGGACTCGATCCCAGGACCCCGAGATCATGACCTGAGCCGAAGGCAGTGGCTTAACCCACTGAGCCACCCAGGCGCCCCGGTGTTGTGGTTTTCAAACAGGTCCCCAAGTGTCCAAGGCTTCTCGCCCAGGGACCTAAAGGAGTGCCCCTCTCCTTAAATAAGGATCCCGTGAGCACGGCAGCGGTGACCCCATGCTAGTCTCCAGGTCCAGGCTGTAAGAAATCAGGGGCGCCTGGGTGGCTCAGTGGGTTAAGCCTCTGCCTTCAGCTCAGGTCATGATCTCGGGGTCCTGGGATCAAGTCCCGCATCGGGCTCTCTGCTCAGCGGGGAGGCTGCTTCCCTCTCTCTCTCTGCCTGCTTGTGACCTCTGTCTGTTAAATGAATGAATGAATGAATAAATAAATAAATCAGATGCTGCTATCTCCTATCTTGTGAGACTTGTGATCTTGGAACCATCCACCAGATCTTGAAGCCCAGTTTTGGGAGAGGCCCCCATGGAGATGGCCGGAGGCTCCTCGTTCTCCGTCAGCACTGACCCACCGGCCGCGTGCATACCGCTGTGGAGGGAACAAGCTGTTTTCACCAAACCCAACCTACATCTCTGGTTTCCAAGCTTAAAATAAAGGAGTTTCTACAATGACATTCTAAGCCAGCAGGTGTTGGTGGACTCTGCCACATGGTGAGTGACTGACAGGGATTCTGGTGTCCTCCCATGAAGAGATGAGGCCCCTGTCCCGTCCCCATGAGTACGAGCTTGGTGACAACTACAAAACTGCAGGTGTGATGCAGCCTCACATTCAGGGTTCAGGTCTAGGCCTTCACAGGTTAGTGGCTCTCCTGCTCTGCTTCCTGGGGTATGTGCTCTCAGAGCCAGGATCTAATGGGGCACGAAGCGAAGCAGACTGTGTGCAGAAACTGGGTAGGGATGTCCGTACCAGGGGCACCCAAGGCCTCCAGCCACCCGTCTGGCCGTGCCCCCACCCCGCGGCCAGCCATCAGCACCAACTGGCCGGCCCCGTGACGAGCAGCTGGCGAGCAGGTCCTCCCGCTGGAAGCTGGGCCCGGACCAGCCTGCGCCCCAGACCCAGCCACAACTCCTCACACAGGCGCTACATAACCAGCTCCCCTTGCTATCAGCCAGGAAGTCTCAGGGAGGTCCACCAGGTGGCAACTAACAACTGATACACCAGGTTGTCACGTTCTCAGTACTAGGCTTTCCTGCTGCAGAAAGGTAGCTTCTTTGCGGCATGTGTTACATCAAGCGGCACGTCACTGTGATGGGGAAGCTCTAAGATGCTCCTGGGGACCTTGCCACTGGGTGTCTATGGCCTGGTGGATGCCCTCACCTGGAGCAGAACTGGGTCCAGTGACATGACTTGAATGGAAGAGCACAGTGAAAGTGCTGAGGTGCCACCAGGCAACGAGGCTCCTGCTAGCCCCCTCCCTCAGTCTCCCCCACCCCTGCTCTCTGTGTCTGCCGCGCTGTGCGCTTCCATACCGAGCTGCCCGTGGAGCGAGGAACGGACAGCGTGTGGCAACAGTCGGCGGGGAGCAGAGGCTGCTGGCTGCCAGGCTGTCCGCGCCCTCAGAGACGGTGATGCGGCAGCCCCAGTTGACACCCGACTGCAGGGTGTGGGGGGCCTGGCACAGAGCGCACGCTGAATCCCACCACGACTCCTGCCCACGGGAGCAGAGGCATGGGAAGTTCTGTTGTTTTATGCCTTGAAGCTGTAAAGCCATTTACCACAATCGTGAGAGTTACCAACATCAGGGTCAGGGTCAAACCGTCAGTTGATGTTCAAGCTCTTTCTGTTCATCAGTTGAGCGACGACTGTGTACAGTGCTAATCTCAGAACAGCACAGGGGGTTGGGAGTACTTAGGAGACCTTTTCAAGAACAAAAGAGCTGGTGAGCACCATTTCTCCCTCCACACAGCAGCCTGCACACGCTGACACCAGGGGGGCGAGCGAGCACCTGTGCACCGAATCTGCTGGTAACACCATAGCTCCCGCACACGCTTCCTTACGAACACGCTCCAACTGCCCTGCCTGCGGCAAAGCCTAGCTGTGGCCACGCGGACAGGGACAGCAGCACTGCCCCAGGGAGAAGGGACGATGACCACACACGACAGCAGGACGGCAGCCCCCGGAGCAGGCTGGGGCAGGCATCTGGTCTGACTACAGGCCCCGCCCACCGAGGAAACCCCAGGGCACAACGGCAGGAAAGCGCCTGGCAGCTGGGCGCTACCACAGCTCCGGAAAACATCTGGCCTGACCCGAAAGTGAAAGGACGATTCCAGAATACACACGCACGCTTACATTCCATGCGCCATCCTTACAATGACCAAGACATGGCAGGAACCCACGTGCTCCTCAGTGGACAGATGGACAAGGAGCTGCCACACTCTCTCTCTCTGTCCAGAACGCTACTCTGTCTTGAAAAAGAAGGAAACTATTTGGGACAATATGGGTGAACCTAGAGGCTATTAAACTAGGTATAATTATTATACTGTATGATTTTACCTCTATGTGGAATCTAAAAAACAACGAACAGAAGAAAACAGAAACAGACCCATGAATACAGAGAACAAACAGGCACTTGCCAGAGGACAGGAAGGGCAGGGGTGGGAAAGTGCGACTGGGAGGCTGACTAATGTCGTATGTGTATCAAAAAGACCTGAATAAAAATAAAATAAAAGGTACAATCTTACAGTTATAAAATAAACAAGACATGGGGGTGCAATGTACAGAGTAAGGAACACAGCTACTACGGTGACAGCTTTGGACGGGGACGGGAGGTCACTTCCCAATGCGTGGAAACGGCAATCGCTACCCCGTACACAGGAAACCAGACTCTGCCGAGTACAAATATCAAGAATGTGTCACATGGCATGTTCGGACATTTCTACAGAAACAATTAAATGTAAGCCTCACAATTCACAGACCTGTACCCCTGGGGCAAATAATACATTATATGTTAATAAAAATAATTAATTTTAAAAGGTTAAAAAATGATTAAATCCAGGAAGTCACAGTAAAGGATGTGGGGTAACGTTCTGAGAGCTGTGTGGGATTTCGGCAAGGGCAGAAAGAACGGGAGGGAGCGAGCGCAGCGGACACCACCTGGACGCCACCTCTGTGCACAGCGGTGCTGGTGCGTGAGCGGCCCCGTCTCCCGTGCCCCTCACGATGACCCTCAGGAGCAAGGACTCCTCCCGCTGCCGTGTCACAGAGGACGGACAGGGCACAGGGACAGGAGAGGCTGCCCGGAGCAGGTGAAGCCAGGAACAGGAGACGGGTGAGGGAGCAGGTGAAGGCCGTGTCCATGGTGCAGCC